ATCACCTGTTTTCTTTTGATTCATTATATATTTGACTATGATTTTGGCAATAATGTGGGTATAATGGAAATGTTGTTCCCCAGATATATGAGCAAGAGGGAGTGAAGATCTTCAGGATACCGTCGCCAATCTTCTTTGCCAACATTGACTTCTTCAGGAGCAAGCTGGTTGAAGCTGTAAGTCTTAAACCAACACCACATCTCAATCAGTAGAAAATACTAGTAGAATGTTTTAAAAATAACCAAATCATCTTTATAAGTTCATGTTGTAATTAGAAAGAAGAAGTAGATTAGAAAATAAACCTTATCTTATCTTTGACCTGATTCTGTCTCATGTGAACATGTCATTTATGTTACTAAGGTTGGATTCAACCCACTGAGAGTACTGAGAAAGAGAAATAAAGCACTTAGGATGATCCGGAAACTTCTGAAGAAAGGTGATCTGCAGTGGACTTCCGTAAGTAATGACTATATAGTCAGCATACACTTTCACTCCGACAACAACCATAAAAGTTTCAGTTACTGTTACACTGTTATTATCTCTTCCTGTTTTCATTTATTAACTCTATTCAGATCAGCAGTGTAGAAACAGTACATGTGTAATAAACAATCCAAAAAACATCCACATTTGGCATTTGTTCAGCAGATGGTGCAAGGTTCACCTCCACTCAGATCCAAGTAATTGTATGAACATGTTGTGACCAGGATGTGATGTGTTCAGAAGATTGCTGGTTTATTGTGTTTGGTTTACAACATGTTTACAGCACAGATTTACAACAGGCAGACTATGTTGTTGTGTCTTTTATTCTCCAGTCTGATGCCATTACACCATTTAAAGAAGAAGAGGAAAGAATGAGATGATACAATGAAAAGAACTCAAACACAAACAAAAATGATGTAGGAAACATTATGGAAATATGACTTTTCTATTTGTGTCATTTGAGAAAGGTCGTAGTCTCCAAACCGCTCAACACAGATCTGACATTTTTTGTTGTTGTTTTTGCTGCTACTTTTCAGTGGAACAGAAGCTTCAGTGGACATTAAAAGAAGCTATTTGCAAGTTTTAGTACATAGCCAATGTTAGCATTAATTGTTGTTTATTTACCAGTCTAAAGGAAACTTCATTCTTTTACTCAGCAAGAGCTGTCCCCAGTGGTGGAAAGCAACCCTTTTGTTTTGCTTCTATTTCTATCAGTTCCTGTCTTCTATTGAAGTTAGCATGCTAACCAGCTAGCTACAGCCCAGTCAGCCCGTCTTGTCACTTTCTGATACCGAGTCACTTTAGCGTCCAGACTGCCCTGAAGAAGTCCCGCTGCTGAGAAAGCATAGTATAACCTCATGTACCGTAAATGTAACAATGGTTGAAGTTCTTGGCAAAACTGGTTAGCAAACAGCTGTTAATTCTAACTGGCTGTGCAGCAATAGCAAGACTTACAAATAGCTCCTTAAAGTCACACACTACAGTCTGTTTCCTGTGCACCTTGCTACAATTAGCTTTTATTAAAATAGCAACTTTTCTATCTCAGCCAAGTATTTCAACTTTTGTGCAAAGGTTCTGATTTTTTTTCTGCATTTCTGCTCTAGCTTTTTTTTTTGTGGACAAATTGAAAATGTGCATAAAAACAGGTGGATGAAAACACACCTACAGATTTCAGTTATGTTTGATGAGGCCAAACCAAAAGATCCACTGCTGGGATGACCCCTGTCTACGGTCTCAGGTCTCAGGTCTCAGGTCTCAGGTTTCAGGGCCAGTTCTGTTTTGCCTCTCCACCCATGTGCTTCATTTAAAGTGCAGCCTACACTGAATTAGTAGTTTGTGTCTTAATCTATGAAAAATGTTGCTTTAAATTGATGCATACCTACTCTTACAAGGACCCACTATGTGGCTATGTAAAGATGTATTTTTGAGAAACATTATAACATATAATATCCATTACAGAACGGCCTCTTGAATACCTCTTGTCGACCAATCAAGGAATCAGAGGACGAGAGCAACATGGAGGAGCTTGACCTGCCGACTGACTTCAAAGACCTTCCCACCCGGATTGACTGGAACGCCGACCTTCCAGCCAACATAAGTGTTCCAAGAGTGGAGGTCCACAGCCTTATCCTGGACTTTGCTGCTGTCTCCTTCCTGGACATCTCTGCTCTGAAGGGACTCAAAACGGTGAGTTGATGAGTCACGACATCAAAGGTGGCAATCATTTCACTGAGCCTGCTTTTCTTTAATTACCTTAAACTTTTTTTGCAGTCGCTGAAAGAGCTGATCCGGGTTGAAGTTGAGGTCTACATTGTGGCTTGTGATCGTAAGTATGAAACTATAACATTTAGGTCCAGATTCAAATTCATCACTATCTGAAAAGTCTTTTTCAGTAGCTCCGAATCCTTTCTGCCCCATTATTCTACATATTGTTTGTGTATTTTTGGACAGGATACATGTTTTAAATATCCACCATATCCATCATTATTTCATCTTGTGCTCATTGCTGGTGTCAAAAATAATGCTTAGCGCACAGTATTAACTGAACAAGATTGATGTACTGTTCCCATTTGACAGAAATACCAACAATCTAAATTGGTTTTACAATAGATGCCTACTTAGCTGCAATCTGTATTTACAAATAAACTGAAATGAAATGAAATAAAATAAAATAGATGCTTAGTGTCATAATTTCTTTACCTCCAAATCCCTTTGTAGACCTCTCAGTGGAGTAACTTTTCCTCCTCCCCTGCAGCTTACATCCTGGAGAAACTGCATCACTGTTGCTTTTTTGATGATGAAGTTCAACCATCAATGTTCTTCCTGACGCTGCACGACGCCATGCTGCACATCCTGGAGAAACATCCGGAGTCCACAGAAAAGAAATCCAACTGTGAAAAGGTGAAGTAGACAAGTGAAACACAGCATAACACAACATCTGGAGGATGTTTCTGTCTCAATAAATACCATATATTAGTGCTGTAAATACGAACAGAATACATTACTTTTCATGTTGTTCTGCAGATTATAACAACAGTCACCGTTCACCACACTGGACGCAGTTTGAGGAGCACAGATAGAAATGTACGTATCCGTTTTTATTTGTGGGCAACAGCTCCTGCTGTGGTTTTTATCTCTGTTACTTTCCCACACGTCATGTTTTATATGCTTTTTTGAAAAATTTCAACTTGTTTGTTTTGTTTCATTTATTGGATTATTTTTATGGGACAAGGCAAGTGATTATTTTTTCTGGTAAGACAGAAATAAATTTTAAAAAAAACTTGTGTCTCATGGGTTGTTTTCACAGAATTACAAAATCAGGGCGAAATCCTGATGAAAATTATTTTTTTATTTTTTTATTTTTTGGTTTGTTTTTTGCCAGAATAATTTTTTTTTAAATCTGTGAAAACCACCCCGGAGAGGCAAGTGAAAAAATATTTTTGCCAGAAAAAAAAACCCCCACTTGTCTTTTAGTGCTTCCCTACTCAAGCTACGATGCAAGCTGCACATTATTTCAAAAGTTATATGACATGATATGTTTCAAATGTGAAATGCTCTTAAAATAGCTTCTTTTTCTCTGACAGGTTCCAGATCGAGAAACAAGGTTCTAACCTTTAGATGAGAAAATGATCATTTCTGGAGACCAAAGACATACAGAGTGAATGTTTTATAGATCATGCTGTTCTATACACTGATGTAATGAATAATGAAATACTGTTTTTGACTTAATTAATCTGACAATCTAAGTTTGCCAAGACAATATTTACTGTAATGTGAGAAAACAAATTTCATGGTATTGTTGTTTTTATACTGTACATAGTGAATTTGTAGAAGTTTTAGGTGCAATATACACTGCTGCCCATAAAGTTGGAATAATCTGTTTATTCCTATTTAAATGCATCAGTAATCACTTTTGACCAGGTGCAATGATTACATTATGTTTCCCAATTCCGCAGGTGAAATGAAATAAATCACATTGTCACAGTCATTTCATGGAAGGAGGTAAAAAATATTTTATTCCAACTTTATGAGCAACAGTGTATATCTACATGCTGTATTGGTATATTTTCATGACAATGAGAATAAATTATCTTTTTGACAGACTGTTCTCAAAGTAATGTTTTCTGTGAGCAGTGTGGAAGAAAAGTAGTGAAATAAATATTTGATCACTCTAAATAATAATTAATATTTAGATTTCTTTATAATGTAGTAAATGTAGGAAATAGTCGAATGCAAATTTCCTAGAAATAATTTAAAAAAAGCAATAATGCTCTTGTATGTTCCATGCACATAAAGAGACACCAAACATGTCGACCCATCCAGAGATATTGAACATACATTTACTTAATTATCAGACAAATCATTTGGAAATCATTTAGACTTTATTTCAGGTGGTACCCTCATACTGATTAAAGGTTGTCATACTCTCAGGGGATGTAAAGGTCGGATTACCAACATAAATTACGGAATTACACTGTTTAGATGCATTGGAAGAAACAAAGCCCAGTTCCCAAACTGTTACATCCTCAAACCTCTTCATACAATCAACATATCTCACCTGGCGGAGCATGTACCACACGTCCAGGCAGAGTCCGGGCTACAGCAGTCCAGTTTCGAATCCAGCCTGGGCGCTTTGCTGCATATCATTCCCTCTCTCTCTCTCCTCTTCATTTCCTGTCTCTCTTTATACTGTCTCTATCAATATCGTAAAAATGAAGACAGAAATGACAAAAATAGTTCTAAAAAAGGAAACATATCACATAGCGGTGTCTAAAAAGAGAAAGCTATACCAAAACACTTTGTGTGTGAACAGCATCAAAAAGTAAGACAACCTCACAAGCGAAAAACATGAAAATCTCTCAGACATATCAACACAATGAATCATGATGTGCTCGTCATGTTAATGATTCAACCAAGTAAAGACAAAACTGACAGTGATGATATTGATCTCAGACCACAGATTAGATAGACACAAACTCACCGCACAGGGAGGAGTGGGCAAAGGTTCTTCTAGGAATCTATCTCCAGAACCTTTTTACATTATTCTGGGATTAGATTCACACGTGAGGCGCGAGGATGGCGACTTTGAGGAAACAGTACGTGGTGGCCAGAGATGTGTACTCTGAGGACAGCTTTGCTGAAGATCATGAGAAGATCTACAGGGCGCACAAAACCATCCTGGACCATGTCAGAGAGTATCTCAGGTAAGTGAGTCCTGGTTACACGGAGAGGAGGATTGTGGTCTTTGATTCGACGTAATCGCTTTTTGTGTTTGTGTACAGTTGTGATTCAAAACGTGCCAAGAATGCAGTACTCTCTCTTCTGCCTATCATTGGCTGGCTGAGGATCTACAGAGTGAGAGAGTGGCTGCTGGGTGATGTGGTGTCTGGGATCAGCACTGGATTGGTGGCTATCATGCAAGGTGAGGAGCAGGACAAGTCTGTGACTGGAAAGTCCCATCATTGTTGGTGCATTCAAGGCAACTAAAGCCATATGGATAAATGTAGTCACAGATTGTGGTCATGAATTCATTAAAAAATGTTGGTACTGAATTCTGATCTGTCATCTAGACCGCCACCCTTTTCCTTTGCTGTACTGTCTATCAGGCACTGAGTTCATGGTCAGATTCTTACAATAGTTTACTTATTCTTTGATTTTTAAAACTGCTCATTTTAGACATGTTAGAGTGTCGTATGACTGCCAGTAACAGCAGCTAAAATCACGTTTGATGTAAGATTAAAAAATTTAATTTCCTTTTATGGGATCAATAAAGAGTCACGGCGACAAAAGAAAGTACAAGCACAGGCGCACAGGATGGAAGATAACCTTAATGATCTTGCATAATAAACTTGTAAAAGAGAATTTTTTTTATCTCAATGGGACTTCTAGGTAAAATAAATAAAACAATAATAATAATAATAATGATATACTCTACATATTGAGCATCAATGCATAGAAAAGTATAACTAAATACGATATAAACCATGCATAAATAATAATTCAAAACTGAAAAAAGGGTTAAATAGAGTAATAATCCTCAGAGTGAAATAGTTTTTAAAGTATTGTATTGGTAAATGTAAATGTCTCCAGCAAACGTTATCTCCCAGAGGTTTCACTATCATTTCAATCTGTTCTTTAATAACTTGTTTTTAGGTGAGTAGGTAAGCATTAGCTGTTTAGCCATCCACTGACTTATAATTCTGTGGGTAAACTGGTGGATTAGTTTCTTGTAGTAACTCAGCAGTCACTTTCCAAACTGAAAAAACACTTCTTTGACTATTTACTTATAATTTTTACCTTCATCGTGTGTTTTCTCTCAACTTATAATACCTGCAAAATATACTTTTTATTTAAAACTTACTTCTGTGTTTTTTGTGGTCTCACTCAGGACTTGCTTTCTCTCTGCTGGCCTCGCTGCCTCCAAGCTATGGACTTTACACAGCTTTCTTCCCCGTGCTCACGTACTTCTTCCTCGGTACTTCAAGACACATATCTGTAGGTATGTCATTCAGTGCTCTCTCATTCTTAAATATATCAGTTTTTCCCTCTATAATAAACAAAACAGTAATTGTCTAATTTGGTTTCTCAAAACCAGCTGGAAAATGTAGTTAAAAGTAATTGTTTAATTATAAGTTGTTTTTTTTTATTCATAATTTATTGGTGACGCATTTTGTCCTCAGCTGCCCTCAGCTGTCCTCCGGTAATAAAAACAGTTTTCTGTAAATAAGCTTAAACATTTCACTGTTTGTAAAAGTTATTGATCTTATCCTTTTTTGAACACATGGAGATAAGCTGAGGTGTGATATAGCTTTAACAGCGTCTTCTCCACCCATCCACACCCTTGTTCCCTGCAGGCTCCTTCCCAGTCCTTAGTCTGATGGTCGGTGCCGTGGTGACCCGCCTCGTCCCGGAGGACGGACCACCAGCAAACATCACAGGCTTTGAGGGTCTGACCCAGGACCAGCAGAGAGTCCTGGTGGCCTCCTCTGTGACTTTCCTCATGGGGATTTTCCAGGTAGACTTGACTCTGTTTCTGTTCATCTGCATGTCCTTTGGGAGAGTTTTCAAATCAAGCTTCTTTTCTGTCTCATGCAGCTTGCCATGGGTGTTCTGCAGGTGGGCTTCATCGTTGTCTACCTGTCAGACACTCTGGTGTCTGGCTTCACCACAGCAGCTGCCGTTCAGATCCTTGTGTCTCAGCTCAAGTTTGTATTGGGATTAAATGTCCCAGGCATCAGCGGTCCTCTTTCTATCATATATGTAAGTCCAAGATGTGACAGTTGTTAGATAGACCACTCCCGATGTTTTCATCATGCAGGCAGTACAGGAGAATAAGGGAGATAAGGGAAAGAGAACAGATTATAGCTTGAAATATGCAAATAGTTCTTTGCGATGTAGAAAAAACAGCACAAATTTTGTTCTGAAAGGTCTTCTGAACTCTCAATTTTGGAGTTTAGGAAATATCATATACATATATATATATATTATTTGCTTTCTTGTCAAACATCATAAGAGCAGATCGATACCGCTCTCATATCTGGGCAGTAAATATGAAACTAGTGCCAGTAGCTGGTTAGCTTATCTTAGCACAAAGACTGGAAACAGGTAGAAACAGATAGCTTGGCTCTGTCCAAAGGTAACACCTTCCAAACTCTCTAATCAACATTATATATCTCCTTTGTTTAATCCATTCATAATAACACCACAAGTAACACCTGATGAGCTGGCAGGTAGCTAGTTAGCTTGAACTTTTAATCTGTAAATTCATGCTTATGTTTATACAGATCACCTCCAGTCATGGCTGTGAATCTGAAACCCACAGTAAACCATTGTAATAGTGCTGATTGTAAAAATTGAATGAAGGTCCAAATATCTTTCTCTAAAAGTTTTATTTGTAGTGCAAAGTGCATGTTTCAGTGAGGTGGTTTTCAGTTTGATAGCCTTTTTATGTCTGTAGCATCTTCACGTGGTCTTCTGTGGAATTCTGCCATATTCTCAAATACAGTGTTTTTGCTTCTTTGGCTCAGACCCTGGAGAAGATCTTTGTCCAGATCACCTCTACCAACATCTGTGACCTGGTGATGTCCATAGTGATCATGGTGGTGGTGTTCATTGTGAAGGAGCTGAACGACAAATACAAAGCCAAACTGCCAGTGCCCATCCCCATAGAGGTTATCATGGTGAGGGAAGTCTTAAAGAAGATACTGGTTTTGCATGGTTTAATTAAAGTACACTTTGAAATACTATAACTATATGCAAACGTAATATATGTACATATATTTAATTTCCATTTTTGGAATATATAAAAACATTATATATGAAACCTATTAGAAATTTCATTTTTGACATATATGTCTACCCATACAAATATGTAATGTCAATGTATGTATTGATAATATATACAGTATATGTATTCAGTCCAAAGGTCTGAGACCATTTTCCCAGAATGTGAAGACAGACATGTTTAAAATTAATGAGAAATTACAAAGGAAAATATATAAATAAACATAGAGAATCTTATATGTATGTTGTTTTGATAAACTATCAATTAAATACATATTGTTAACAATATTAGATATTTTTAATATATGTACAAATTCTGGGTATTTCATATATGTTATAAACGTTTATCCTCATATATCCAGAAGATGTATATATGTGATATTAATATATCTTCTTATAGGTGACATACATGGCAACATCACTGTTGAAATAGGGACATAATGGTGATTCATTACATTTCTGTATGGGTAATTTTCCAAAGCATAGCATATATTTGAAGATTAATTCCCTACCTTCCACACAGCCACTGGTTTCAGTTCATGCCAGTAAACTGGCCCCAGAGGATAAATCATACAATATCAACAAAGAGGGATTTTTAATTTAGGCATTGGTAGTTACTTATATTAATGTCCTGGACTGGTATTCATCAGCCAATCCCCAAATAGGGATGATATAGTTTCCCTCAAGCTTTTGAACATAGGCACGGGAGTGTTTACAAAATAAAATCCATGTATTGAAATATATATGGATTTCTGCTTATTTCAAGCAAGTTTCCACAAGTAGATGTTTTTTTTTTTTTACCATAATGAATTGAAAACTAAAGCGGCCAATGTTCTTGAGACTCTCAGGTGTCTTTTCTATTCACACAGACTATCATAGCTTGTGGGGTGTCCTACGGCTTCAACTTTGAGAAGAGATATGATGTTAATGTTGTTGGCAAAATGGTTAGTGGGTAAGTTTCAAGTTCTCCGCATACAGTGAATCTGTTTGCTGCTGTTTCCATCAGGCAATTCAGATAATTCAAATTCAAACACAATTATCTTTCAGGTATGAGTCTCCCATTGCACCCAATATGGAGGTGTTCCAGGAGAGTGCAGTTGAGGCCTTTCCCATAGCCATAGTGGGGTTTGCTGTTGCGTTCTCTGTGGCCAAAGTCTACTCTATCAAACATGATTATGCCATTGATGGCAACCAGGTGAGTTGAATATAATAAACTTGTCTTTCCTGGTCTGGCTCTGATAGACTCTATGATAAGACTCATAATTTTATTTACGAAGATATAAAGTTTCATTGAATTTTGCTTTCATATCAGCGTTGGGTGTGAGCTTTCATGTGTTACACATAGAACAGCAGGTCAAACTAGATAATAAAATAAATGCAAAACAAAGGCAATCTTTCACAGCCAGAGAGGAAACCACAGTAACTTCTCCTTTCTCCATCCCAGGAGCTCATCGCGTTTGGAGTTAGCAACATATTTGGTGCAAGCTGCAGGTCGTTTGCAGCCAGCACGGCACTCTCCAGAACAGCCGTGCAGGAGAGCTCAGGAGGCAAAACACAGGTCGGAAAACAAATCTCACCATTTCTAGTATCTGTTTCCTGGGTTGTGAACTTTTAATGGGTCATTATCTGGAGACATTTCTGTCCTTAAAACGATTTACACAATCTGGTTTATGTTACTATTATATTCCACCACTGGCATCTTAAAAATCAAACATTAACTTTTTTTTTTTTTTTCTTTTTTTTTAAATGCAGATTGCAGGGTTGATCTCAGCCATGATGGCAATGATTGTAACTCTGGTACTTGGGTTCCTGCTAGAGCCGCTTCCCAGGGTGAGACTCACTTCTGCAACTTCTCATGCCAAAATTTTATTTTATTTGTTTCATGTATCTTATATGGAGGGAAATTTGGAAATTTTCCTGTCATGTTGATTTATATACACAATGTGATGAAGGGATATTTTTTTCTTACACACCTTTAATATTGAATTTGACCGCAGTCTGTTCTGGGTGCCTTGGTGATCGTCAACCTGAAGGGCATGTTGATGCAGTTCAGAGAAATCCCATACCTGTTGAGGAGGGACAAACTAGAATGTGTAGGTATTATTCAATTTAATGCCAAAATGTTCATGTGTTTATAGAATCCAACTTTTTAGCCATTTGGTTACTCCCTTGCCACAGTCCATTCTCTGTCAGTGTTTGACCTCAAGTGTTTTTCTGCAGGTGGTGTGGGTGGGAACGTGCCTGGGTGCCATCCTGCTGGGCCTGGACCTCGGTCTGGCCGTGGGCTTGGGAGTGGAGCTGCTCACTGTTGTCATCAGGACTCAGTTGTAATTACACAATTTGTGGCATCTGATATCAGTTTGTTAATATGCAAAGTGACTTTGAAGGAAATAATGAGAAAGTGATAGGTTTAGCGTAGTTGATGAAAAGCCCTGTTTAGTGCACAGCAACTATGTAGAAAAGCAAAATCTTATCGTTGCTTTAAGTTGACTTTTTCCCATGAATACCTTCCAATCACATTACATCTTTAAAGTCATTTGTGCATCCTGCTGCTGCTCACTAAAAGCGACTACATGGAACTACATGGACCTTTAAATTCTGACACTCACATCAAAAGTATGCTCTGTGAAGAACATTTAAAATTTCCCACAGTGGAACAAAAAAAAACGTAGTACCAATGGCGTGTGCGCTACTTTCTACTAACAATACCACAGAGCAATTTATTACATTTTATGAATGACAATTCTTCATAAGCATCAAAAATCTCACTTGTCACCATTGAGTGTGCATCATATATGGAGCGGTAAAGTGATCTATATCGAGCTTTAGGGCGAACCGCACCTGTCACCAGCAGTCATCACGCAGCACGTCCGCCGTGCTTGGCATCAGCTTACACGATTTCTCGGTACTGAAGTTCAGTTAACCTCTCAGTGCCATATAGAGCAGCTTGTGTTAATCTTAGTCATGAAACATTTGACTCCTCTAGGTACTACGGTCATGCCACTTGGTGATGATGATAATAATCTGTGTATTTTTTTTAAAGGTCATGCATCATCTTCATGGTTTCCGCTCCAATATTAATGTTGAACCCTCTTCATGTGTCTGCAGTCCCCGCTGTTCTGTCTTGGTTAACATCCCTGGGACTGACATCTACAGGGATTGCAAAGATTATCTGCATGTAAATATATTGAGTTACATAGTCTGCTGTTGTAACCATATATGGACATTACTGGGGATGTTGTTGCTCTTATGTCTGTTCTGATGCTTTTTGGCCAAGCAACCCTGAAATAATGTTTTTTCAAGGTTTTCATTTAATGTCATTGTTGTCCTCTGAATTGTGTTTGTTTAATCCTGATGCTTTTCTTCTCAGACATCCGAAACAAAGGGAGTAAAAATCTTCAGGATACCGTCCCCCCTCTTCTTTGCCAACATAGAGTTCTTCAGGGAAAAGCTTGAAGAAGCTGTATGTACAGTATATGTTTTGCTTAGTATTTCTCTGTATGTGAATATGTAGTATGTGAATATGGTGTCAACACTTGGTTGTTGCAGGTCGGATTTAACCCCTTGAGGATTTTGAGGAAGAGGAACAAGGCCCTCAGGAAAATCAAGAAACTATTGCAGGAAAAGGATGATCACATTACAGAGGTGAGACGTAAAACTGCTGCAAACCGAAGCACGCTGAAGAAAATGAAAATATGAATGCTCAGATTTGTTCTCTCAAAAAGCTTTACGCCTACTTTCATACGCTTGTCTAACAGAGGGGTTTGGCAGATTTGTTTTTCCAAACAAATGATGAGTCTTACATGAACACGAAGGAGTTGGATCTGCCCGCTGACCTCAAAGGTCTTCCTTTCCGGATGGACTGGAAGGCAGAGCTTCCCGCTAACATCAGTGTTCCCAGAGTGGAGCTCCACAGCCTGATCCTGGACTTCTCTGCTGTCTCCTTCCTGGACGTGTCTGCTCTGAAGGGCCTCAAAATGGTAAATAAAAAAAATAAAAAAAAAAAAAAACACAAGTCATGAAAAATTTCTTTATCTTGTTGTGTTTGTGTGTCTCTGATTGCAATGACAAATTGCGAAGCCACAGCTGGAAATCCTCTGAGTATGTTATCACAGCAATTTTAGCTCCAGTGGAACAGCAGTGGTGGAAGAGGTATTTAAAGGTCCCATATTTTCTTCTTCTGTGTTTTATTTGAAGTGCTGATCCATAAGAAGATAAATGTGTTGTTTTAAGAGCCACAAACCATCTCAATCTCTCTGGTTGGTGAGCTTGACTGTTTTCTGAGTGATCCAATAAAAATATAGCAGATTTCAGGAAACCACATCCTATAAGGTTGAATGGTGGGCAGGGCTGTAAACTAACTTTTTGGCTCACCAAACAAATCTACCGGCCAAGTAAATTTTTTACCGGCCAAGTAATAAATTGCCTCTTTTTGTTACATATACATCTGTTTCAGTACTTTTCATTGAGATAACAGTATTATATAGCGATATATATTTAGAAAAGAGACCAAAATATTATTCAAAATACATTTTTAATCTTTTAAATATATTCAAAACATTGCGAACATGGACAGTGCCAGCACCAGTTAACCTCCTGTTCTCATAACAAATGATAATAACAAAATTCAAGGAAAATTTAAAAAAAAAAAATAGAACAGAACAAAGTGGATCAGTGCATGATCTAATCAGAACTCATCATCACTGTCTTCAGCAGACACCCTCTTCGCACGGTGCAAACAGCGTGACATTTGCTTCCTTCGTGCTCTCGGATGGTCTCGAGTTTCATCGTTTTATTGACAACCACAAATGAATTGGTGCGCTGCTTTTCTTTAGCATATTTTCTACAAACTGAACAAAACATGATACCCGCCGCCTCCTCGTACTGCAGCCATTCCCTCTGAATCTTCCATTTCTCATTGAAGTTTCTTACTTTTGCTTTTTTCTTTGACGTTTCGCCTTTTTCATCTTCCTTTCCATCTATCTCCTCTGTACTCTTTCTTTTTGGGTCAGTCACACCGGGTATGTGCCTCCGCATTGCTGCGCCGGAACCACACTGCGCGGGCTGGTGGTGACGCGTGAAGGCTGATTTATACTACTGTGTCAAGTCGACGCCGTCACGACGCAGAGCCTCTGCGTGGACGTGAACCCCCGACACAGAGCCTCTGCGTCCGTCAACGTGCACTTCCAAAAAGGCATTTTATAGCAGCAATGTTTTGCTATATTGTGACAAACATTTACCTGCCCCATGGCATGTAGCCCTCCAAAATTAAGTCGCCAGGGGAATATTTTAGTCGCATTTGGCGAGTGGCAACCGTTAGTTTACAGCCCTGATGGTGGGTAGAGGTGGGCGGGGCTTGGGGCATGGCTGAGAGTGGTGACTGCTTTGTTGTGACATCACAAAGTTACAGAAGTCCTGACGGCTGGTTTTAAGGCTCAGTTTCTGAATACAGGCTGTGTGCATTTCTCTGTGGACTGAGGCTTTGATACTTTCACAGTATTAATATAGAACCTAGACCTGCTTTATAATCAAACTACACATGGACATCTGCCTTTAGACTATATGGGACCTTTAAATCCAAAAAAGTAAGAATACCAATATATTTCTGGGTAAAATTCCTGCATTCAAAATCCTTAGAATGATCAGCAAAATATACAGAAAATATCTGAAAAATGCCCCTTGTAGCAAATGTATTGTTATTTTACATCATTAGATTGTAAATGAGGTGAAGGTAGTTTAAATTATTTTATATAAAGCACAGTTAGGTATTTTAGTTCAGTGGTTCCCAACCTATGGGTACAGGCCCCTTCTGAGGGTCACAAGATAAATCTGAGAGGTTGTGAGGTGATTAATGAGGCAGGAATAGGAAAAAACTAAAGAAAGTTTTCTCTAATCTTTGCTTTTTGTGAAATATTGGATCATTTTGACCCTTGATGCCTCAAACAGTAGTGGCATAGAAGAACGAAGTAACACAAGTAAAGTACAAGACCCTTAAATTGTTCTTACAGTACTTGAGTAAATGTACTAAGTTACTTTACATTGCTGTAGCACAGCAAAGGAGAGCAGATCAGTAAAGTGTTAGATATAGACGGTATGTTAGATGAAACTTAGATAATGAGCTACACAAGAGCAGCTGAAGACAGAGCATAATAAATGATGAGTGAATACCCATGTAATTAAAATCTACTGTTTATTGTTTCTTATCACCACAGGCGCTCAAAGAGTTCATCCGAATCGATGTGGATGTTTACATCGTGTCATGTGATGGTGAGTTTCATCAGCATTTCTTAAAAGCACAAGATAGAATCAGTGGTGACACTTGTACACTGACCACATGAGGTGAATATTACCTGTGCAAACCCATAATGCACTTCTCAGGCAGCCCAACTCCAATGTGAATGGGTAAGTGAGAGGAAAATTGTGCAGCTCGTGTACAGTGTAAATGTCCATTTACATTTCACATGTGTTGACAGCGTACATCCTGGAGAAACTACACACCTGTATGTTCTTTGACGATGAGATCTTGACGTCCATGTTCTTCCCGACCCTTCACGACACCATGCTGCATGTGTTTGAAAAACACGAGGGAGACAAAAGTAAAGGCTGGGTGGTAAGAAAAGACTCTTCATGGGTTATACTACATCATTCTCTCTGATTATTGCCATCCTCTGGTCCCGCAACAGCAGAGCAGAAAAATATGAAGTGGTTAGAAAGTTCAGATTACTTGAACTTATCTCTTCTTACTCCCAAGAAGTGAAAACACAACTTTTGTCAAGATTTTGATTTCTTATGTTTTACATCATGAAAGAGAATAAATATTAATAGTATCTCTTGTACAATAGAGTCATACACTTACAACGGCTGTGGCTCAGGAGGTAGAGCGGGTCCACTAATCAGAAGGTTGGTGATTCAATCCCTGCCTCCTCCAGGTCGCATCTCAAAGTGTCCTTAGGCAAGATTACTGAACCCCACGTTGCCCCTGATGGCTGTTCCGTCAGTGTATGAGTGTTATGTATGAATGTGTGAGTGAATGGGTCAATATGGCAAGTATTGGTGAGCACTTTGAGTGTTCAGTAAGACTAGAAAAGAAAAACCACCTTACTCCATATATGAACAAAATAGTTATGCAACACAAGCATCACGATGGAGCAAGTCTATGTGAGTGTTCATGTAGTATAAGCAGTTATGACACTTCACTGTTTCCTTTTTTTCAAGTTAATAGATACCAAACTGTAGAAGAGCAACTGTCTCCAGGAAGATCCATTCACAAGGAAGAATGTTCATCTACAGACTACAATGAAATGCTGTTAACACTGAACCATTTTTAATCTTCCACTCACTATACTGCCACGATGCAATGTTCTGTATGTTTAGTGAGGATTTAGTGATTTCATTAAAGATGGTTCTGTATTTGCTGTCACAGAAATTGTTACAGTCTTAGCTTTTCTTATTGAAATTGTCTCTTTAATATGTCATGGATCAGTCTGTAATGTCAGCTAAAAATGCTAAAAATCAAAGTGTTTGTACTTCTTTTTTTAAATGCTGTTTCTTTGATTCTGTCATTTCATGTGTTTTAAATTGTGTCTGTCCGTTGTTGCTACTTTTGCGTTAACAGGGTGTTGCAGTAAAAGGGCACATATGTTCAGCCAACCCACCCTGTATAAATAATGTTTAAATAAAAAAGATGGAATACATCTTAAATGCTCCAGATGTGTTGCATTGGATAATCCAAATTGGTTTAACACCGTTCTCACAATATTAGGTTTTTAAATGCTCTAAACACTCTTCTAAATTTATAAATCAGGATAAATCAAACTGTAAGATGACGGCAGCTTAGATATCAGCCAATTCCTGACATTAGGACAGGACATGAAAAGAGTTTACTGCACCAGACAGAATGAAAACATCCCTGCATATCATATGCCTGCAAGTCATTTTCTAATATTCATTTCAATTTAGGGACATGCTTAAAACAGTGGTTCTCAACCATAGTGGTTTCCAGGCAAGGTAGGAAAGTAGGGGAAACATTTGTGCTACACAAAATTACATTTCTTTTTTCTGACTTTATATAAACTGTTTTTTTTCTCCTTGCAGTTTACTTGATAACCTTATCTTGTCCATCTTCAAATGACAATCTGAGAATCTCTTAAAGTGGTCAGAAACTGCAGACATATGCATCCTTTCGATATGAGTAAACAAGTAAACCAAGGTTTGTTTTACAGGGGCACAAGAAAAAAAAAGTGAAAGCACTGCTTTAGACTACCACCAGACATAGCCAGGGGACTGACAAAATGTCTTGAAGACACACATTTTGAGTTTTCCCAAATGTTCATACTAGTTTTCAAAAGATGCAAATTTCTTGTATTGTTTCACCTACCATTGATGTTTAATTTCAGAAAATTGCTTAAAATCATCAAAACTTAACATCTTCTTGGACAGATCAAGATGTTAAATGTAAACCTTAACCCTAACTGCTGTTGTTAACAGAACAAAACAAAGATGAGATGGAAATCTACTGTTAAAAATTTATTGAGACATAGTTAGCATCTTTCATTGTACAGTATATATGCATGACTTCGGCTGACATATATACAGAAATATAAGCTTTTAAAAAAAAAGGAACATTCTTGCTCTTCTCCAAGTCTGTAGTTTGTTCAGTGGGATGTTCAGTACAGTTAACTAAGAGGTGTACCACATACACACTTGCCTCTGGGCAGTATTATCAAAATGAATTTCTACATCCTGTAACCCTGAGGTTTACTATCACATTATTTAGACAAGCGGTATGGAACAGAATGACACAGACTGTTGCCCATTCATTCAGATAGCAGTTTACTGATAGTAAGGCCGGTAGCGGCCCTGATCTGGGTGATGTGGTCCCGGCATTTGGCCCTGAGGAGGAGGACCCTGCATTCGTGGAGGTGGGGGCCCTCTCGGAGCAGGCCACATCCCAGGACTGAGCCCTCCTGGCTGGCTGAACGGGGGACTGAGGGTGCCCTGGTCTTCAGGGAACTGCTGCATGGAGTTGGGGTTGTAGTGATGAGGTGGGGGGGCGTTGACAGGGGGGCCACTGTGTTGTGGTGGAGGTCCTGGGTGGTTCATATAGGGGGGCATCTGGCCCATAATGTGCCCAGGTGGTGGAGTGATTGGTGGGGGGGCTGTGGACATGGGGGGAGGGGGGGCCTGGTTGTACACCATGTGTGGTGTCCCAGAGGCTTGAGGAGGATGCTGCATCGGGTGGCTGATAGGAGGAGGAGGGGGAGGTGGGGGGCCAAAGTGCTGCTGCGGTGGTGCCATCATGTGGTGAGAGTGGGACACAACAGGTGGCTGGCCAGGATAGTCCCCAGGGTGGTGGTGGGGGGGCTGACCGGGGCCTGGCCCCCCAGAGAGGGGCTCACGAGAGGACGAGTCATCTTGGATGGGCACGGTGATGAGATTGCTGTGTTTGCGGGTTGTTACCGTGGCGATGCGGAAGGTCTCAGGACCAAGACCAGAAGTTGGGGGCGGAGCTTCGTGAGCAGAGGGCGGCGGCTGACTGTAGGGGTCGTGACTGCCATGCTGGAGTGGGTTGGGTAGGTGGACATGGTTCTTGGGTAGGTGAGGCGGAGGCACACGGAAACGCTCAGGGACCTCGGATGAAGGGGGCATGTGCACAGGCTCCTGGCGGCCTGCGGAGGACTTGGCTGCCCTCAGGTGGCGGTGGTTGACATGGGCCTGCAGGTCACGCTGGGAAAGGTAGGTGCGCTTGCAGCCCGGCACAATGCTGCACATGTAGAGGGAACCACGCTGGCACTGCTCGATGCGCTGCACCGGGTCTGTGCAGTTGTAGAGAGTGAGGCTGGGCACACAGGGACAAAATTAGAGAGAGAAAGGAGGAGTGAAACAAACAAATCGCAGGAGGAAATCGCAGAGCTCAATGCTACACATCTATTTGAGCAAAACAACAGGTTTAGTAAATATCTTTTTAAAATATGACAATAATGAAATTCCAGCATTCACTACACCACAAAGACTACAAAACATTTCAGTGGTTCAGATGTCTCACCCTGGGCACATTTTCTCTCCTTTTTTCTCATGAAGCAAAGCACAGTCGTAGCAGAAAACATGTTTGCAGGGGATCTGAGGAGTAAAGAAGTTAAGAGTTAGACATCAGCAGTTCTCTAAAAACATCTGCAGACAATAGTCAGATTGACAGAGTACATACCATCCGTCCATACAGCTGGATAGGGAGACCACACTTATCACAGAAGTGAATTGGGACTTCATCCCTTTCTCCAATCAAATGTAACTGTTGGAAAAGGACCAATGAGTTCAAATCTCTTAAAGTTAAAAAATTAGACAATACTCAAAAACTAAAACTATAACCCATACGCTTTTCTGTTTGATGATGGGAAAAATAACTGTTTAAACCTATCTGACATAAAGGACAATATTTCGGACAGTCTGGAGGTGCATCATCGCTTACAGTGTGCCAGGCAACAGGAATGAAAGTGTCCGTCATTAATATCTGTCTGAAAATACTGACATGTGTGCGGAGTCTTTTCTTTGGCCTGATTATCCAGTGGGATGTACCTTATAGTCCCAAAACAGTGGCTGGGGAAATCTCCTCTGACTCGCAAACACATCGCCAGCTTTGGCACCACAATCAAACCTGTCCTCTTGCTTGAAGCCAAAGCTATCTGTAAAACACAGAGACAAAAGTGTTAATGACAGACTGCAGGAAAAAAAAAACAAGATTAGAACACCCTAAAATTTTAACTAAAGCCGTTAGTCTTTAGCTGAGTAACTTTGGTCCTTGATAGGTCTGAGACAAAATGTCAGTTCATTGATAATTATGGATATCTCAAGAATATCAACAAATAAAAACTAAGCATTTTTGAGCATGTAAAAAAAAAAAATCTCTTTATGCCAATCTGACACTGTAAAATAAAGCAAAAACCAGAATTGAACTTTGACATTAAAATATTGACTTGAATTGCATTTTACAGTTACATAATCTTAATATCCCTGGGTTTTATAAAATAAGCTATCCTATTATCCTGTATCATTCTGTAAGATCGTATGTCAAACAGTTGTTCATGGTTAAACTTGTATTAACAAACGAATCAATGTTAAAGTAATGACTTCAACATACCTTGTTTTAACTGAACTAAACATAACAACTGAAGAGTGTATCATGTGAAAGATCCTCTGTCAACCGCCTGAATTGCTGTCTATAGTCTATTATGGTCACCATGGATAATTTAGTGGCGCCCTCTGGTGGTAAAAGTGTAAACTAGATGACGTTACCACATAGTGCTTAATATAAAAAAATGCTTGAGTATTGACTCTTTTCTTTATTTTTTATAAATTGCATAGTGCCCCGGCCCTCCTGATCACCAAGTTAGGGAATCCTAAGTAAAACAAGGAGTGCTATAATCCTCTTTGTTTCATTAACTTCTTGTACAACAGACACAGACATCATAAAGTAATTTTGAAACAGTTAAGTCTAAACATCCTCATGACTCATGGCAGAGAAGAGAAACTGCAGTGGCAAAGAGGACATGAGATCTAACTTCTGACCCACACCAGCACTGACTGAAAGACACCAACAACTCTGCTTTAACTAGTGCCTCAGATATCACTTCCCGGGTTGATAAATGCCTCTGTCAGTGTCAGCAAAAACCATGTGCTTCAACAAACTGTTGTTTTGTGATTCCTATAAAGCCATTATGATGTTTTCCACCTGACAGCTGTCTTTTTACTCACTTATTTATCATGCTTGATTCTACAATCAAAGCAGACAAGGAACCAAATAAATAAACATTAGAACATTGTATATATACATTATGTATTTTTATTGCCTGCATGAAACAATTATAAAACTGTAATATGCTAATTGTCTCACTTCCACTAATTTTAAAATGCAATGCTAGGATGCATGGTGAGCTGCAACATGTGCCTACCATCTTCTCCAGTCTCACTTTTAGATGGCCTGCTGCTGGGTCTCTGCACGCGTGGCAGAGGTTTGCTCCTTATGGGCTGTTTGGATATGAGTTTGATGGGGATTCGTCTTCGAACATCTGGGCCACCCAAATTCCCAGAGCCATCACTTCCTTGAAGATCATTGTCTGTGGAAAATAAGGATCGAGTTACACTAATTTTGTATAATTTTGAAAATGTAAATTAATAGTTCATAAATGAACTGACTAGTGAAAATGCTGAAATCCCACTCCTTGAGTGATTTCTTATTGCATTTGAAGTAAAATTAATATAATGAAACATAACCCATATGGAAACAGTTATAGAATTGCCTTTGAGGAAAAGTTGCCCCAAAGTCAGGATGTGCAAGTGCACTGTGACAGGGCGTGCAGCAGTGACCCTGCTTGTCCACAATTTTTAAAATGACATTACAGACTAACATAGCAATGTCTTGTAACTTTGGGTAACCAGCGAGGTTTATATTATCATATCAAAATTTATTTAGTATGGCCTTACCGGTATGGCTTTAGAAATACAAACCAAGAAGAAGGACTCATACATTACAGCAAATATTCTGA